CGAACCGAGCGCGTCAGTTTCTGGAGCTGAAGTTTGGCCCTGGGGTGGTGGAAAATCCCAGTATCCGCAGCCGAGTGTATGGCGCTGCGTGCGGAACGACCGGGAGACGTTGATATGAACGACCCGTGGCGGGACGAGCTGTGATTGGACGACCCGTGGCGGGACGACCTGTGATTGGACGACCCGTGGCGGGACGAGCTGTGATTGGACGACCCGTGGCGGGACGAGCTGTGTGTGGACGACCCGTGGCGGGACGAGCTGTGGTATGGACGACCCGTGGCGGGACGAGCTGTGATGGACGACCCGTGGCGGGACGAACTGTGATTGGACGGTCAGGGGAGTTACGGTAAACAACGTTGAACAAGTATGTAAAAAAAAGCTTGACTGCAGCTGTCAGCTAAAAGTTATGGAACTTGTAAACAAACTATTATACGAGCGGGTTTCGAATATCTTGTATTCGGGTTATTCGGTACCTTTTTCTTAATGCCATTTGAGTACAGGCAGATCCATTTTTCCTAAGCAATGGTTGGTAAGCCCAAGATAGTAGGCCAATGAATGAGTTTACTGCCTCTCAATCGTGAATCGAGATTTTCATCTTAACTTTTTACCTTTGTGATAATCTCAAGTCAGCGTGATAATCTCAAGTTATGTGGTTGCATTTTTGTTGTACGAGTTCGTATCTAGTCATAGGTTTTGTCTCAACCATATTATGTTTTATCTGCAATGAGGTATTTTCCATTATGTGTAGATAAAAGTGTGCCAAATGTTAATATTTGTAACCATGCATAGGTATCGCGAGTTTTCACGATATCAGTGTGTATATTTTGATAGCCATTTGAGTGTGAAAACAATCTAGATCTGAATATAAAAAATATACGCCTTTTTCAACTACTTCATATTTTTCCGTTGAATAGCAAAATGAAGCTTATTCGCATTCGGATATGTATATTCTTCCATCTGCGCTCCCGCTTTCTGTGCGACGGGCAAATAAAATAATTGTGATCGAACCCCATTGTGAACACTTACAAAATGGAAGTGCTGTTTTTGGGTAACGTTGAGAAGTTTTGGTACTTGTGAATAACTGCTTATGATTTAGTGCAGTCAAAACACAATGGAATTGGACAACGTAAAAATACTGTCGATTCGCCTTATCGTTCCCTTTGACCGTTTCCTCTTGCCAGTTTATCGTTACCTACTTATCAGTTTATCGCTAATGCCCTGCCTTTTACGGGGAGTCTCGAAAGTGTGTAACTTCGTCTGCTTAGTGCTTCCGTGTTAAAATGATCAGCACCGAATGCTCGATCGAAAGAATCACCATACATATGCACCAATGACTTACAAAAATATGTATTATGGAGGCACATTACGGCACAAGACAGACACGGTACACATGATAATACAAAAGACAGACTTGTTCTAGCGATGTTTGTGAGGGGACGAAGCGAAACTGACTGGTCTCGTGCCAGCCCTATCGCCCCGCCGACAGGAGACTCTCATTGTCGCTGTCGACGACTGACCGAGCTCAGTGCTCGGCGGCGCGGGCCAGCGCCTCGGCTGTGCGCGGCAAAGTGGGCCGACTTGGCGGCAGCCACCTCAGGGGTGTCGGCGACGGGCGCCGGGCCGGCCAGCACGGCGCTCGGGCCCACCGGCAGGTTGGTGCCGGCCACGCGGAAGCCGAGCGCGTCCGACACGTAGCTGACCTTCTGCGGGATGCCATACGAGTCGACGTAGCTGTAGGAGCCGCGCACCACGCCGTCGGCCGTCTTCACCTCGTTCTTGGCAGAGTTGACGTCGGCGTAGCCGTAGTTGTACTGGCCCAGCTCGTCCTGGCTGTGGTGCTGCGAGCTGGCGGACGCGGGCACGGCGGCGTACGGAGCAGCGGCGTAGGTAGCAGCGGCGTAAGGGGCAGCGGCGTAGGTAGCAGCGGCGTACGGAGCGGCAGCATAGGTAGCAGCAGCGTACGGAGCGGCAGCATAGGTAGCGGCAGCGTACGGAGCGGCGTAGGTAGCAGCGGCGTACGGAGCGGCGGCGTAGGTGGCGGCGGGGGCGTAGCCGTGCACGGGGTTGACTGCTGTGTAGCCGTAGCTGAAGCGCGCTCCGACCGGTCCGGCGGAGTAGTAGCCGGCCCGGGCGGCCGCGATCAGGGCGCACACAATCTAAAAAGGACAGAGAGAGAGGACACGAAGTTAGATCAAAACAATGGGCTCTACTCTCCGCACATTTGCCTACACAACAGCAGTAGAATGGTCAGACATGTTAAACCGATCAGATTGTCAGATATTTCAAGCTTTTTTGCCTCTGATGCCGATTTGGTCACTCTACAATCTACATCGCATCTATGCAGCTGTGCCATGCGTAAGAACAGCCTAGGTAGCAGCGGCGTTCTTACTTCTTAGTCTACTGTCTACTGGCTGTGCGCTGTCTACGGCATACCTGCCACTCGCCAGCAAACCTCTCTGATACTCACCAGAACCTTCATGTTGGCTTTCGGAGCGGTGGGCTGCGTCGACGACCGATGAGTGTCTGCTGTGGGAGCGCGCGCGGCCGCCTATATAGTGGCCGGCGGCCGGCGGCCTTGCTGGCGGGGGCGCGGCAGGGCACCCGGACGCCAAATGGGCCCACTGTTTGGCGTGGCGCACCGTCATACCTGCGCTGAGAAACCGCCCAGCTCTCGGAGGTCACAGAAGACACGGCCCCATTGCAATCGATCGCGGCTCCCTTCGAGGCTCCCTTCGCACAATAAAAAATAGAAATATGACAACTGATGACCTCACCTATGATCCGACCGATGTACATATTTTCTAAATGTCTTGTTAACGACGTTCTATAACGTTGTAATGCCCTTGAGTTGAGTCGTTCAGCCCTAGTTATTCAACGACAAAAATCTGTGACAAAAAAAAATCGAATTCGTGTCTACGAGTAAGTCGCAAGGAAGGAAGCGTCGCTCAAATTGCCTCGCCTTTCCCTAGGTACCAATTATATCAATCCTGAAACATCAAAGGTCAGGTGGGTGACGGCTTGGCTTAGCCTCCAAGTGCGTCTTTTTTGCCAAACACGCCATGTAGGTAGGTATCAAGATGTCTTATTGACAGAAACGCCAATGCCTGTAGCGAGCCAGATTACAACCTTTAGGTCGAAGCGGCGCACTTCAACCGTGACCAGGTCAGCCGAAGGACAGTCGTCAGGGATGATCCACGAGCAATATTCAATATCGTCCTCCGATCCTGAGCATGCAGGCTTTGCATCAGCTTGGAAAAGGGGGAATATTTGTTTCTGGTCCCTAAAAAGCTGTTTCTGGCACCTAATTGCTGATCAGCCCCAAAATGCTTATTCGACCCTAATATCTGAATCTGGCACCTAATTGCTTCCACACAGCCTAAAGTTGCCAGATCGTCTAGTTGAACTCCGTATTTGCTGTTTGCTGATTCAGCACCAAAACCAAAACATCCAGCACCTATTTTATTCCACGTTTGCCTACCTAATTCGCGTAATCTTCCTGATTTTATGTATCCTAACAACATGAACGTTGCATTCGGTGATGTCAAGTGCCATTTTCGCCAGTGGAGATAATTATTAATGCCATTTCTAGCCAAAAGAGAATCACTAGCCAGCTATGGTGCAGCATAGCAAGACGCTCCTATACCAGCCCGCTATGTAGAGACTAGAGATTATTGCACCCTCAGCCATTTTAACGTGACAAGTTTGGATCCGTCACTTCCAGCCAGGCTCTCAGGTCATAAACTGGAGTAAAGCAAAATGTCAACTCTGAACAGACATTGCCACACAACCGGCCTTCTTTTCAATATTATTAGCTTTCTGCAATCATCGTCTGACTCCATCTCGATCAAACGCAGCATCCGGTTTCTACAGGGGCGTTTGACTGACCGGCCACACAATAACCAAAAACAAAATCAAAGCTTCATGCACATGTCCGTGAACTTAGCGACGTATACGTATACGTATTCAGCGACGAATTCCAAATCACTTCAGATTCATGGCATGGGTTAAGTTGACCATGCTGAACACGAATATGACATTTATTTTAACTTTTGAGCTGATCTTCATGGTTAAAATCCGGTTTAAATGACGGGGAACCGCATAACGTCGCGAAAATAAAAACCCACGAATTCCAAAGTATGTGCAAAATGTAGAGCTCATCCAGATCTAACGTCCGTGGCAGAATCCAAGCTCGTGGCTCTTTAACTTCATGGTTAAAATCCGGTTTAAATGACGGGGAACCGCATAACGTCGCAAAAATAAAAACCCACGAATTCCAAAGTATGTGCAAAATGTAGAGCTCATCGAGATCTAACGTCCGTGGAAGAATTCAAGTTCGTGGCTCTTTAACTTCATGGTTAATATCTGGTTTAAATGACGGGGAACCGCATAACGTCGCGAAAATAAAAACCCACGAATTCCAAAGTATGTGCAAAATGTAGAGCTCATCCAGATCTAACGTCCGTGGAAGAAACCAAGTTCGTGGCTCTTTAACTTCATGGTTTATATCTGGTTTAAATGACGGGGAACCGCATAACGTCGCGAAAATAAAAACCCACGAACTCCAAAGTATATGCAAAATGTAGAGCTCATCCAGATCTAACGTCCGTGGAAGAATCCAAGCTCGTGACTCATCGCCTTCATGGTTAAAATCCGGTTTAAATGACGAGGAACCGCATAACGTCGCGAAAATAAAAACCCACGAATTCCAAAGTATGTGCAAAATGTAGAGCTCATCCAGATCTAACGTCCGTGGCAGAATCCAAGCTCGTGGCTCTTTAACTTCATGGTTAAAATCCGGTTTAAATGACGGGGAACCGCAAAACGTCGCGAAAATAAAAACCCACGAATTCCAAAGTATGTGCAAAATCTAGAGCTCATCCAGATCTAACGTCCGTGGAAGAATCTAAGTTCGTGGCTCTTTAACTTCATGGTTAATATCTGGTTTAAATGACAGGGAACCGCATAACGTCGCGAAAATAAAAACCCACGAATTCCAAAGTATGTGCAAAATGTAGAGCTCATCCAGTTCTAACGTCCGTGGAAGAAACCAAGTTCGTGTCTTTTTAACTTTATGGTTAATATCTGGTTTAAATGACGGGGAACCGCATAACGTCGCGAAAATAAAAACCCAGGAATTCCAAAGTATATCCAAAATGTAGAGCTAATCCAGATCTAACGTCCGTGGAAGAATCCAAGCTCATGGCTCTTTAACTTCATGGTTAAAATCCGGTTTAAATGACGGGGAACCGCATAACGTCGCGAAAATAAAAACCCACGAATTCCAAAGTATTTGCAAAATGTAGAGCTCATCCAGATCTAACGTCCGTGGCAGAATCCAAGCTCTTGGCTCTTTAACTTCATGGTTAAAATCCGATTTAAATGACGGGGAACCGCATAACGTCGCGAAAATAAAAACCCACGAATTCAAAAGTATGTGCAAAATGTAGAGCTCATCGAGATCTAACGTCCGTGGAAGAATCCAAGCTCGTGGCCAGGGATGCGGAGCCGGAGCCGAAGCCGGAGCCGGAGCCGCCGGAGCCGGCATATTTTGCCCGGAGCCGGAGCCGGAGCCGGAGCCGTGAAACAATGTAGCCCGGAGTCGGAGCCGGAGCCGGAGCCGTCAAAAAAGGGGGCGACTCCGGCTCCTTTTCTTTAGAGGAAACAATTATTTACCTAGTTCGGTTTGACAGTAGGGACCGTCGAGGTCCTGGTCAGTGTTCTCTACCTTCAGTGTTCGCATACACGGTTACACCTCGCCTCGCATTCAAAGCAATGCTGCCACCACCTACAAGGCGTAAAACAATGTGGTATTCAAAATAGCCTTGTTATACAAATACAGTAGCAACGTGCACCAATCCCATCGCCTTTTTTCTTCCACCCGTATCTAATTGATCGCATAGGGGATGTACTTAGTAGAAGCCGGAGCCGGAGCCGCCGGAGCCGGAGCCGCTGGAGCCGGATCATTTTACTCGGAGCCGGAGCCGGAGCCGGAGCCGCCATGACATTTCACCCGGAGCCGGAGCCGGAGCCGGAGCCGATTTTTTTCTCCGGAGCCGGAGCCGGAGTCGGAGCCGTCTGAAATTTCCACGGCTCCGCATCCCTGCTCGTGGCTCTTTAACTTCATGGTTAAAATCCGGTTTAATGACGGGGAACCGCATAACGTCGCGAAAATAAAAACCCACGAATTCCAAAGCATGTGCAAAATGTAGAGCTCATCCAGATCTAACGTCTGTGGAATAATCCAAGTTCGTGGCTTTTTAACTTCATGGTTAATATCTGGTTTAAATGACGGGGAACCGCATAACGTCGCGAAAATAAAAACCCACGAATTCCAAAGTATATGCAAAATGTAGAGCTTATCCAGATCTAACGTCCGTGGAAGAATCCAAGCTCGTGGCTCAACGCCGTCATGGTTAAAATCCGGTTTAAATGACGGGGAACCGCATAACGTCGCGAAAATAAAAACCCACGAATTCCAAAGTATGTGCAAAATGTAGAGCTCATCCAGATCTAACGTCCGTGGCAGAATCCAAGCTCGTGGCTCTTTAACGTCATGGTTAAAATGCGGCTTAAATGACGGGGAACCGCATAACGTCGCGAAAATAAAAACCCACGAATTCCAAAGTATGTGCAAAATGTAGAGCTCATCCAGATCTAACGTCCGTGGAAGAATACAAGTTCGTGGCTCTTTAACTTAATGGTTAATATCTGGTTTAAATGACGGGGAACCGCATAACGTCGCGAAAATAAAAACCCACGAATTCCAAAGTATGTGCAAAATGTAGAGCTCATCCAGTTCTAACGTCCGTGGAAGAAACCAAGTTCGTGGCTCTTTAACTTCATGGTTAATATCTGGTTTAAATGACGGGGAACCGCATAACGTCGCGAAAATAAAAACCCACGAATTCCAAAGTATATCCAAAATGTAGAGCTCATCCAGATCTAACGTCCGTGGAAGAATCCAAGCTCGTGGCTCAACGCCTTCATGGTTAAAATCCGGTTTAAATGACGGGGAACCGCATAACGTCGCGAAAATAAAAACCCACGAATTTCAAAGTATGTGCAAAATGTAGAGCTCATCGAGATCTAACGTCCGTGGAAGAATCCAAGCTCGTGGCTCTTTAACTTCATGGTTAAAATCCAGTTTAAATGACGGGGAACCGCATAACGTCGCGAAAATAAAAACCCACGAATTCCAAAGTATGTGCAAAATGTAGAGCTCATCCAGATCTAACGTCCGTGGCAGAATCCAAGCTCGTGGCTCTTTAACGTCATGGTTAAAATGCGGCTTAAATGACGGGGAACCGCATAACGTCGCGAAAATAAAAACCCACGAATTCCAAAGTATGTGCAAAATGTAGAGCTCATCCAGATCTAACGTCCGTGGAAGAATCCAAGTTCGTGGCTCTTTAACTTAATGGTTAATATCTGGTTTAAATGACGGGGAACCGCATAACGTCGCGAAAATAAAAACCCACGAATTCCAAAGTATGTGCAAAATGTAGAGCTCATCCAGATCTAACGTCCGTGGAAGAAACCAAGTTCGTGGCTCTTTAACTCCATGGTTAATATCTGGTTGAAATGACGGGGAACCGCATAACGTCGCGAAAATAAAAACCCACGAATTCCAAAGTATGTGCAAAATGTAGAGCTCATCCAGATCTAACGTCCGTGGCAGAATCCAAGCTCGTGGCTCTTTAACGTCATGGTTAAAATGCGGCTTAAATGACGGGGAACCGCATAACGTCGCGAAAATAAAAACCCACGAATTCCAAAGTATGTGCAAAATGTAGAGCTCATCCAGATCTAACGTCCGTGGAAGAATACAAGTTCGTGGCTCTTTAACTTAATGGTTAATATCTGGTTTAAATGACGGGGAACCGCATAACGTCGCGAAAATAAAAACCCACGAATTCCAAAGTATGTGCAAAATGTAGAGCTCATCCAGTTCTAACGTCCGTGGAAGAAACCAAGTTCGTGGCTCTTTAACTTCATGGTTAATATCTGGTTTAAATGACGGGGAACCGCATAACGTCGCGAAAATAAAAACCCACGAATTCCAAAGTATATCCAAAATGTAGAGCTCATCCAGATCTAACGTCCGTGGAAGAATCCAAGCTCGTGGCTCAACGCCTTCATGGTTAAAATCCGGTTTAAATGACGGGGAACCGCATAACGTCGCGAAAATAAAAACCCACGAATTTCAAAGTATGTGCAAAATGTAGAGCTCATCGAGATCTAACGTCCGTGGAA